GTTAGGGCCCCCAGCGATAGGTAATTCAAGCCTCAACACTAAGAAGGGTTTCCTATAGAAAATTTCGACGACTCTTTTCTAGGGGGGGGGGGCTTCGAATGAAACAGTGAAGTTCGGTAATTTTCGAAAATATATTTTTGACGAAAACTGGACACAGGAAACCTCTGGGGCAATACCCACTTCACACGCGGAAGGAGGATCGCCCGCCGAAGGTGGGCGATCCGACTGGGCCTCAGTAGGAATGCCAGGGGCCCACTTCACACGCGGAAGGAGGATCACCCGCCGAAGGTGGGCGATCCGATTGGGCCTCAGTAGGAATGCCAGGGGCCCACTTCACACGCGGAAGGAGGATCACCCGCCAAAGCGGGCGATCCGACTGGGCCTCAGTAGGAATGCCAGGGGCCCACTTCACACGCGGGAGGAGGATCACCCGCCGAAGGTGGGCGATCCGATTGGGCCTCAGTAGGAATGCCAGGGGCCCACTTCACACGCGGAAGGAGGATCACCCGCCGAAGGTGGGCGATCCGATTGGGCCTCAGTAGGAATGCCAGGGGCCCACTTCACACGCGGAAGGAGGATCACCCGCCGAAGGTGGGCGATCCGATTGGGCCTCAGTAGGAATGCCAGGGGCCCACTTCACACGCGGAAGGAGGATCACCCGCCGAAGGTGGGCGATCCGATTGGGCCTCAGTAGGAATGCCAGGGGCCCACTTCACACGCGGAAGGAGGATCACCCGCCGAAAGCGGGCGATCCGACTGGGCCTCAGTAGGAATGCCAGGGACCCACTTCACACGCGGAAGGAGGATCACCCGCCGAAGGCGGGCGATCCGACTGGGCCTCAGTAGGAATGCCAGGGACCCACTTCACACGCGGAAGGAGGATCGCCCGCCGAAGGCGGGCGATCCGACTGGGCCTCAGTAGGAATGCCAGGGACCCACTTCACACGCGGAAGGAGGATCGCCGCCGAAGCGGGCGATCCGACTGGGCCTCAGTAGGAATGCCAGGGACCCACTTCACACGCGGAAGGAGGATCGCCCGCCGAAGGCGGGCGATCCGACTGGGCCTCAGTAGGAATGCCAGGGACCCACTTCACACGCGGAGGATCGCCCGCCGAAGGCGGGCGATCCGACTGGGCCTCAGTAGGAATGCCAGGGACCCACTTCACACGCGGAAGGAGGATCGCCCGCCGAAGGCGGGCGATCCGACTGGGCCTCAGTAGGAATGCCAGGGACCCACTTCACACGCGGAAGGAGGATCGCCCGCCGAAGGCGGGCGATCCGACTGGGCCTCAGTAGGAATGCCAGGGACCCACTTCACACGCGGAAGGAGGATCGCCCGCCGAAGGCGGGCGATCCGACTGGGCCTCAGTAGGAATGCCAGGGACCCACTTCACACGCGGAAGGAGGATCGCCCGCCGAAGGCGGGCGATCCGACTGGGCCTCAGTAGGAATGCCAGGGACCCACTTCACACGCGGAAGGAGGATCGCCCGCCGAAGGCGGGCGATCCGACTGGGCCTCAGTAGGAATGCCAGGGACCCACTTCACACGCGGAAGGAGGATCGCCCGCCGAAGGCGGGCGATCCGACTGGGCCTCAGTAGGAATGCCAGGGACCCACTTCACACGCGGAAGGAGGATCGCCCGCCGAAGGCGGGCGATCCGACTGGGCCTCAGTAGGAATGCCAGGGACCCACTTCACACGCGGAAGGAGGATCGCCCGCCGAAGGCGGGCGATCCGACTGGGCCTCAGTAGGAATGCCAGGGACCCACTTCACACGCGGAAGGAGGATCGCCCGCCGAAGGCGGGCGATCCGACTGGGCCTCAGTAGGAATGCCAGGGACCCACTTCACACGCGGAAGGAGGATCGCCCGCCGAAGGCGGGCGATCCGACTGGGCCTCAGTAGGAATGCCAGGGGCGATCCGACTGGGCCTCAGTAGGAATGCCAGGGACCCACTTCACACGCGGAAGGAGGATCACCCGCCAAAGCGGGCGATCCGACTGGGCCTCAGTAGGAATGCCAGGGGCCCACTTCACACGCGGAAGGAGGATCACCCGCCGAAGGTGGGCGATCCGATTGGGCCTCAGTAGGAATGCCAGGGGCCCACTTCACACGCGGAAGGAGGATCACCCGCCGAAGGTGGGCGATCCGATTGGGCCTCAGTAGGAATGCCAGGGGCCCACTTCACACGCGGAAGGAGGATCACCCGCCAAAGCGGGCGATCGACTGGGCCTCAGTAGGAATGCCAGGGGCCCACTTCACACGCGGAAGGAGGATCACCCGCCGAAGGTGGGCGATCCGACTGGGCCTCAGTAGGAATGCCAGGGGCCCACTTCACACGCGGAAGGAGGATCACCCGCCGAAGGTGGGCGATCCGATTGGGCCTCAGTAGGGACCCACTTCACACGCGGAAGGAGGATCGGATTTGTGGTGTGGGTCGGTCGAAGACGAGGGCTAGCAACTGCACGCAAAGGGACAATTGTCTGTGCTCAGCAGCAGAATCTAGAACTGTGTGGCAGTGCCCGACAAAACTTTGATGAGGAACTTATCGAAGTACAGCTAAACTCCCCGTGAAAACGCCTCCAGTAGATTAATACAGGCAATGAGATGACACCGTTAGAGCGATACAAATTGTAACAGTTGAGCTCATCGTAGAGGCCGAGCAAAAGACGAATACCGTAACACATCAATGACACACTTACCTCACGGCTGTGCCGACTAGAATGAACCTACCCCACTCTCCCCACTGCAATCCATTCCAGATTTTGAAAGGATAACATTTATCATTCTGTTTGTAGCACTTCCCAAATCAAAACAATACATAATCCACCTAATGAATCGCTAGTTAGAATGTCAGCCCAGATGTTTCCCATGGAATTGGGGAGCGTCGAAAAAAGTGAACAGAGCTGATAAGATAAGATAAGATAACAGGGCCTAGTACAAGATAGTCGCGAGGTTCAAAGCGCAGGTCGCAGCAAAGGTAGGAGGTGGTCCTCAGAAGGTAAGCTGGGTGATCCGACTGGCCCTCCTTCACATGGAAAACTTCTCACCGGGACCCACCGATCCGACTGGCCCTCCCTCTCATGGAAAACTTCTCACCGGGCCGATCCGACTGGCCCTCCCTCACATGGAAAACTTCTCACCGGGCCGATCCGACTGGCCCTCCCTCACATGGAAAACTTCTCACCGGGCCGATCCGACTGGCCCTCCCTCACATGGAAAACTTCTCACCGGGACCCCCGATCCGACTGGCCCTCC